TATATATATATATATATATAAAATATATATCAGTTTAATAAGTATAATACGTTTTTTTTGGTACATTTCTGGCATTCACCGCTTCTTTTTTTCACATTAAAAAAAAAATAATAAATTGTGTCTAGAATTTAAGTAAATATGACAAAATCTCTATTTAGGATGTCCTTAAAAAAATCTATATTCTTTTAGTATTTGGGTTATGGAGAGTCATTATATTTGACTTCAAATAAAAACAAATGGTACATCCTCATTTAAAAAGTAAATACTGTAAATGTAAATGTGTGTGTGTGTGTGTGTACCCTAGCTCTAGCCCGCTGAAACTGCTCTTCTCTCCTATCGAGTTCGTTCTGTAGTGACTGTTTTTCTTGCTCTAGCTCGGAAACTCTCTTCTGCAGCTTTAGGAACAAGGACATATCCAGTATCGCCTTGGAAGCGTCCTAAAGATAGAATAAAACACATCCTATAATTACACATGCAATCTATATGCTATTTTATGTTACTTTTATTTGTATGATCTTTGAAAAAGCCAAACTCAAAGAAGTGGAATTTAAATTCTATCATAAACATAGACACAGTATAATGTGAATGATCTTAATGATATTCCACATTCTAATCTCACCTCCCCTCCGCGGGTCCCTTCCTCGGACTCGGCAAACTCTGAATTATAGGTATATTCTGATTCGTTGCTGCTGTGTGTGGAGTCTGTGCGTCTGTGACCAGGTTTTGGAACATTCTAGAAAAAAAAAGATACACTAGTTTAGTCATTCAGAAAACCCACCGATTAGTTGAAAGCACTGAAGATTTGCAATCCCTAAATACGTGTGTACTCACTACAGCAAGTGTGATCTCCTCTTTCAAATCGTCGTATTTCTCCTCTAGTCGGAGGTGTTCGGTAAGAAGGTTCTGGTAGCGAGAACGTTCCTCGTTTAAATCGTTTTCTAACTGCTGAGTTTCCTCCTTCAGAGCCCTCTGCATTTTCTCTGCAAAACACACACATACATATTATATGTACACTGCTGACATTGAATTATTACTCAATCATCTGTTTCTAAAGGATTTGGATTTGTTTTTCTGTTTAAGATCTGAGTAGATCTAGGAATAGTCAGAATAGCATCAGACTGGGCAGTATATTAATGGGCAATATATTCCACTGTTGTTTTAATATTATTAACACATTAAAAAAAACAACCTCTAAGCCTAATAGAACGACAGAGGTTTTTGCAGTTTTGCTTTACCTGTCCACTGCTGGCTCTGTTCTTGGATCAGTCGGTTCAGGTCGTTTTTCTCGTTCTTCAGCAGGTGGTTTTGCTCCTTTAGTTCTGAGATCATCTGTTACAAACGTAATCATTATGACATCTTAATCTTTAATGGTTATACTAAAAAATAAACTACACTGTTTATGTCCCAGATGCTTGTATTGACCCAGGAACATTGTTTTAACTGCTGAGAAATATTTATTTACTCAACACACACCCAGTACTTTGTTTATTGTGGCTTCGTGAATCGTTCTAGTCCTCTACCACCCTAAAACTACAACTACTTCTAACATTTAAGCTGAGCTCTAGTCTCTATCTCTCTCACCTGTGTCAATGAACAGATCTCTTCTCTTTCCAGGTTTAAGGCAGTGTGCAGGTCTCTCTAATCCCTGAATATGGAGACACAGAGTATATCTGTGTCTTTAGAGGGCTTGACAATCTAGGAGGACTGTCTAAAAGCAAGGGAGTGAAGGTAACCTATGGGTCTAACTTTACTTTTTTGGGGGACCTGCTGTGGCCATTTGCTAATGTATGCCACATAATTAGTGAGGTTTTGTATGAACACTCAACACACATATCAAAAACACACTTACTGTTTATAAATGATTCATTTATATATGAGTCGTACACTAATAATTTAGAAAGTAAGACATTTTTAACAGGCTCTTAGAAATTATTCTGTTATGTTCAAAGATTTTGCACATTAGTATGGGAGAACTTTGGGGCATCAGAACCATGAAAATGTAATTAATCACTTTTTTGACTCAGTCGATATGAGCCATTCAAATGAACTGATCAATTAAACACTACTTAGTAATGAATCAGTTTTATGAGTCAGTCCAGTGAAATGAACCATTCAAATTAACCCTCTTTAAAGGAACACCAATGGGAGACGACTCGAATACATCAGTGAATCAGTTCCCTGTCCAAATTAATTGCGTTCTAAGGAACATAACTGGGTGATGACTCATTAAATAAATAAATCTGTTCATTTTTATAGTTTTTTTCAATGACACAAACAAACTGATTCGTGAATCGCCCTCAACTTTTTGTAAAGTGCTTTGTGAAGCCCGCACCAGTGCAGGCACATCACATCTGCACACAACTACATATCTGAACTAACAGCACCTTTTCCATCTCGTCCTGGTAGGTTTGTGCCCAGTCCTCGATTGCTTTCTTCTCCTTCCGTGTGTTCTGCAGGTCTTTGCGCAGTCGCTCCAGCTCTTCCAGAAGAGATGTAACTTTGTTGGCATTGTTTTTGGCATCCTCTTCTGCCCCTCGCAGACGCGTCAATTCTACACGCAGACGCTCAGACTCTGCAGCATGGCTGACCTCTAGACTGTTCAAACGCTCGCTGACAACACGGTTCTCCTTGTTCTAGAGTGAAAGCAAAACAGAACATCAATTAATTGTATTTAACCCTACAAATCCTAGGGCATCATACTGTATTTGATACCTCAGTTACTAAGGCCTATAAATGATCAACAGGATCAAAACCTTCTGCACTCTGATTGACAGTTCATTCTTTTTAGTATGTAAAAAGTCCTTTTAAGCGTATTTCTAAAAAAAAAGTTCACCTTCAGGTTGTTGTACAGATTCTTTTGCTGTGAAAATTTTACTTGTTCTTATAAAGTAAACATAAGATAACTTTTATATTTTTAGTAATATTTCAAGATGAACATTTCCTAGACAGAAGAAAGTTAGGTTTAGTTGATTGAAAAATCATGTTAAAACGTAAGTATAACATGATATTTGATACAGGCTTGAACAGGCTTTTGAGTAACATTTATTTGTACATCTCTCAATCATCATTGTACTGTGTTGCCCCCCACAATAAAAACTACAGAGCTTTAACTTGTTTACAAGACTTTAAATGTCATCTTACTAAGAAAAATTATTGGAAAACACAGACTTACAACTGATTTTCATATGCACTTAACTAGTAACTAGTCTGCTATACAATAATCTCATTGATTTACTTTACAAGCAATCAGCAATTCATCTTATTTTTTGGCCATATACATAAAAGCATCTGACCAAATTGCATATTTTGCCCAGTTTGGGCCTTTAAATAAAATGTAAGTGTTTTTTTCCTCCTCATGTGTGAGCTATATGTTCTCACTATATTATACTATGCAAGCCATAAAAGCCTGATGTATAAAAACATAAAACGCATATGCAAATATAAAACAAAATGTTTTTTCAATGTATATATAAAATAAATATACAATAAGTGAGTGAGTGACGTGACATGTGGCCAAGTATGGTGACCCATACTCGGAATTAGTGCTCTGCATTTATCCCATCCAAAGTGCACACACACAGCAGTGAACACACACACACACACCGTGAGCACACACCCGGAGCAGTGGGCAGCCATTTTTTGCTGCGGCGCCCGGGGAGCCCTTGCTCAAGGGCACCTCAGTCGTGGTATTGAAGGTGGGAGTATTGAAGGTGGGTACATTCACTCCCCCCACCTACAATCCCTGCCGGTACGAGACTGGAACCCGCAACCTTTGGGTTACGAGTCCGACTCTCTAACCATTAGGCCACGATTTCCCTCATATATAAAGGAGTATTCTTGGGAATTTGAGCAATTTTACTTGAACTTGAGTTCGTCTTAAATATTTCTTTCTCATTTTTATTTGTTGTTTTGCATTTTTCGAAATCCCAAAAGCATGTTTCTTTTAAGTTTAAATACAATTTTGAATCCAGTGTCCAAATAAAATTATTTTTCAATGTGGATTCAGATGTTTGAACCCCACTGTACAACACCTTTGAATTTACATTGCACCTACATACTGTAACAATTACACTTTGTCTTTAAAATCAAGTATTATACCGACAGCTACATACATATACAAAGATTCTGCATAGGGAAGCCAAGATCTAGATGATGTGATCATGTCCTGCTAACAGATTCTGACTCATTCTAAAGGAACTAAAACAACAAGAATCAAGTTAACACTGCGTGCTTTCAACCTGTTTCTCTTCCATAACCTGATGTCTTTTTTCGACTGAATAATGATATTCAATGAAAAAACAAGGGTGGGATCTGACTGTGAAAAGTAGTATTGAAGTGACAGCTGGCTGGATGGAAGGACTAAGATGGAATCAGCCAGAAAGGAAATTAGTTTCATAGGCAGAGCAAGCTACATTTTATGAACGATAATGAATACTAACTTTTTTTGGAATAATGAATTGTGCACAATAAGACCAGTAACGACCATAATGATTTCATCCTGACTGGTCGTTTTAAATGAGGCACAACAAGCCACAGCATCTTAGTGTGAAGTGTGGTACCTGGTCGTCTATCCTGCGCTGCAGTTGCATGATCTTGTTCTCCATGCCGATGTTGAGTTTCTTAAAGTGTTCCACCGAACGTGCTTCGATCTTGAGCTTCTTGAGTTCTCGCTTGGCTCGCATGCGGCGGACGCAGCACTGCAGGTAAACGATGGCTTCGAGCGTCCGCTTGAACCACTGCCGCGCCAACCAGCCTCGGACCATCTTCTGAATGATGATGGCCTTGTGCTCACGCAGAAGCTAAACAAACACACAACAACACATGATGAACAGGAAAAAAAAACATAAATACACACAAGAGTTAAGAAGAATGCAATGCAATGTAGAGATCAGTCCAGTGAGTGTTCTCAAATCGTTTTTTCTCTCACACCTTCTGCCTTTTTAATTTGCAGATATTACACATCCTGCCTCGATACTCCACTGCTGATCAACAGAGCTCTGACGGCAGGAAAAGAGAGGAGAGAGAGACTGTAAGAGTAATAATGCAGCCGCAGCTTCTGTGGTCCGTCAGTGGGACAGTCCCTACACTGGAACAGCCTGCTCCTTGGTTGACTGCACCTTTAACACCATTCAGTTCTCTAGGGGTGCAGTTAGCAGCTTTCACTGGTCATGTGTCTCATGCCTGAAATAATTCACTTGTTTCCAGTGTGTTAATTATAAACCACCCCACCAGCATCATATTTTACCCTGATGTATATCAATATGTAACCCGTGTCAGTATTTGTTTAAATGTTAAGATCAGAACTAAATTGGAAATACAAAAAAAGATGCATGTAAAAATGCAGTAATGAGACCAGTAGAGAGCAGTGTTTGTGAGTCGTGTGTTTGTGACTGCTGCAAATATATTTATAAATGTGAGAAGAGTGTATTAGTATGTCTGGTTTCCTCCTCACCGCTTTGTACAGCTGTCTGGCCATGTACGCCCTGAGGATGCACTGCATGACCAGAGCGGCAGCCTGCTTGCGTTTGTAACATGTTCTCTGGACATACATGCGCTGGTACTTCTGAATGATGATCGCAGCACGTGTGCGACGCAGGAATTTTGCAAGACTGTGGGGAAGAAAGAACAACTCCGAGGTTACTACTGTACTTGTGCACCTTCTCACTTAAAAACAGTGCAAAAGTTTGGTTCCGGAAATAAAAATCCCTTTAAGTTTCTCAGCAGGGAAATGGATTTTTAACAATAACTTACAAACCCTGAAAAAGGTGGATATATACTGTGCGAGCTCCAAGGTTCACATTATTTCAACCTGCTTTTCAAAAGAATCATGTCTAACAGAGTCATTCTTGGTCAAAAACTACATTCCCAAGATTCTGCAAAACTACATTACCCACAATTCCACCATTTAGAGATATGCGATGAGCAAATAGTGCCAAAAGAAAGACCAGCTACTTTAATATTTGTGAATATGCATATTTTGCAAAACTCTAATAATACATTGTTTCTATTTAAAACTATTTCAATCTCCCATTTTGGTGCTGTTTGGTTTGGTTTGAGGCTTATAACGCTTTAAACAAAGACTTTTTGTAAATCTCTATTGGAAAAACGAAAGAAAAAAACTTCAGACCAACTCTGTGAAAAAAGTGGGCAGGCAATGTTGTTCGCTGTAAGCTTATGTTGATTTGTTGAATTTTTCATAACCTTAGCCAGGCCCCACCCACTATGGGATTAGTCCCCTCCCCCTCACCAGCGGGCCTGGTATCCACGGACGTATCTCTGGATGGTTGTGGCAGCATGTTTCATGCGCAGGTACTTCTTGCGTGCCAGCCAGCAGCGGATGGTCTTCTGGATGCGGATGCAGGCAGCACGCAGCTTATCTGCACGCAGTTTCTCCAGATACGCAACCTGCCCTGCGCGAAAAAAGATCTTGGTCTTGCCAAACTGGTACTTATCTGGATCCTATTAGCAGGACAAAAAAATAGAGAGAGAATTAATTTATCATCATTCATCAGTCAAACTTTATTTTAAGCCAAATTTTCAACAGAAAATGTGAGTAGTGCCAAATTCTGGCATTCTGCTGCTTGCTAAGTTTCTGAGTAGTTTTAGTTTAAGAGCCTATTATATTATGGTCTTTGCACAAAGTCTATCCAGAGTACCAGTTTGATTTCATGAGATGACTTAATTGGCTTGTTGTACCTGCACCAGTTTCTCCAGAACATTCTTACAGGTCATCTTCTTGTCTGTCAAAACATCTTTTTGTTTCATCAGGACACGATACCTGCTAAAGAACTCCTGATACGTCCACCTGACAAGCAAAAGCAATCACACAAACACAAATATACAGTCAGGTAGTGTTTGACAAAAGGGAGTGCAGTATGGTAATGTAAAGAACTTCACTGTACCTAGATGGGAAACCAGCTGCAGAAATGCGGATTGTTTCCAAAACACCACATGCACGCAGTTGCTGCACTGCCCTCTTGGGGTCAAACCTGGTAATGACAGAAATCAGATATCAGCCTTGCAACACTGTGTTCCTAATAGCTCACCATCAATTCTGCAAAGGCCAGTTATAAAATAGTTCAAAACAGAGTCAACTGAGACACATGAAAGTATGAAATTAAGAGATTCGATTTGTGAAGAGAACTGCACACTTTGGTGTTGCCTATAATTCCATTATAGTGATTAGTGTTATAGCTGTGGTGTGGACTCTGCTAATCTTTAATATTGACAATGATTTTTAGAACTATATCTTTATCATTATCTTTATAGTTATCGTCCTTGTTGTGAACGGGCCTTAAAACAATATATTTACCAAGGTTACTCTTGTTAGTTGAAACTGAAACTATTAAAAAATCATTACTTGAAATAACTTAATCAAAATACTTATACTAACCTAAGTAATAAAATAATTCATGTACAACATGAGCAATACTACTGCTAGTGGTGCAGGTGTCACACAAATTACTCACCACAGCTTTAATATATGTAAAACAATTGTCATGTAAAATGTCAAGTTGATCGAAATCTATTTTAGGTCAAATTGTTTCTGTAATGAATGTGAAACATATTTTTATGACTCATTAGCTAAGCTACATGCTGATGGTAGATTCAACTGAGAATTAATCAAGTTTTTACTGTTCATGGTGCATGCTTACAATTGTCTGTTAAAGTACTCATATTTTGGGGGTCTGCTAAAAATTCATGTTTTTAAAATTCCCATAATTTACATTGCTGCAGCACCTTATTTGCCCTCTGCCTGAAACGCTCTGTTTAAGTTTCCATCTCTTTTAAAGCTCGCTTTCTGATAAGCCCAGTGTTCTGTGATTGGTCAGCTGGCCCAGCCTTTTGAACGTCTGTAACTACATCTTTATCGGAAGTTCATATAATTTTTTTTTGCTACGTCTCCTTGACATAGCGAAATCACTTACCCAACTATTCTTTGAGGGCAGGCCTAATCTACCTATTAGAAAACTGACAATTAAAAAATATCAGCGAATCTCAACTTGTGATCACAGCATGTGTATGCTTAGAGAGAGAGAGAGAGAGAGAGATACACAGATAGTTCAATTAAAAACAGTAGAAGAACTGACGTGAAGGCATATTTGTAATCGTTGGGTTTTATGCAGCGAACGTAATGTGGTGTAGTCGCATTCAGTGTCTCCATCAGCAGCTGCAGAGAGTTACGGAACTACAAAGAGAGAGAGAGAAATGGACACATTCATTTAAATTAGTCTCTTTTTAATCTCATCCATTGTCGGTGCTTATCAATTTACTTAACCCAAAAATAAAAATCATAAAGATATTCAGTAAAAGTGAAAATAAGTTAAGACGAGAGCAGTCTTCCACCTGCAGTCCAACTGTCTTCTTGTGTTCTTTGCTGGCTTGGCCGGCTTTGTTCTTGTCTGGTTTGACGCTGAGGCGAGTGCGTCCTCCAATAGCAAGAGCAGCACCGGTCGGACTTGTGGCTTTCTCCTCATCCTGGAACAGCTCTACCAGCAGGTCAAACTGAGAATTACAGCCAAGGCAGACTTAACATACAAGCCAAGACAGGTGTTCAGATTAGATGATCAATCAGAGGCACTTTTTGACTTAGAAATGAAGCAAGGATCTAACTAAAAAAAACTGTCATTAGTTATTCAAAACATAATTAAACTCAATGTTATTTTACTTAAGCTACAATTAAATCCAGTTGTCACTACTGTTCTGAGTTCTTAAGCCTGTTCTATACACCGTTTAGTTGTTTACGTTAATGGCAACTGCATTTTACTACAGCTATAAGCCTAAAAAGCCATGGTTTACAGTGGGAACTTTCTTGCTCTCTCGCAAAACTCCTGATCATGCAAATTCCTGTTAGAATAACTGCATTTCACCCACGAAAATGCACAGAGCAATGGTAAATGTTACTGTGACTGAAATACCCTTAGCTTTCTAAAAACTCTGTAAACTATGACTTCACAGGACTGCTTTTATAAAATGGCCGGTAACTACATTTACCTGGCAAATGTTCATAAAATAAATGCACAAACACAGTAATACTGATGTAATGGTGTCACAGGTATGTGTTTATAGAGTATTTTACAATGGCTTTGAATGCAGCTGAGCCAGGATTTCACTCCTGAAAAATTCAGGTAGTTGCAATTGAATTCTCAGCCGAACTGTGTTAAACGGTTAGCATTCATGCTTTTGTACAGGCATGCGACACTGGAGCATTTATCACTCCCAAAACTTAGCAAGGTTTTGTGGCCTTTGTTACCTGAACTAAATGTTTGCACTCAAAGTACCACTTTTAATCCAGATTAACCACATAGAAAACAACACTAAGCAATTCTGTCATAATTAAGAAGTATGCACATCAAGACAAGCAAATGGTATAAAGTGGGATAGTAATGAACAGAAAAGGCCATGTACTCAGAAAATGTCCCTGGAGTCTCGTTTACATTGATTGCCAAGAGTTTGAGCACTGAGGGACGCTAGTGCTGGTACTACGCAGCATGCAGCCTAAGCATAAAATAAGAGTCCTTATGGGACCAACAATTTAAACATCAAATCCCAACTCACAGCAAACAAACAAACTCCAACTCTGTGTTAAGCCTGCACTTTTTGGTCTATGTGTAGTACATATCGATGTCTTCAGCTGTTGCATTTTTAGGAACAGTTCACCCAAAAAATGAAAATTCTGTCGTTATTTATTGTCCATCAGATTGTTCTAAACTTAAATGTTGATATTTTTCAGTGTTTCCCATTAATTACCTAAATTTCATCCTAAAATATACTCTTCTCAAGATTTCCAACATTGTGTTTTGCGCCATGCTTTGGCAAAGCATCTGTCAATCAAACTAAAAGCCTGTCATTTAATTAAATAAGTGCTGTAATGCTTGTGGCACAGTGTTCAAATTTATTTCACATTTGGGAATGCAACATGCCACAGCGTTATTTTCACATTTGCATCATTTCCAACATTTTGTGGACAGATGATTACAACCTAATTTTACAGAAACAGCATTTTTCAAAAAATAAAAGACAAAGGGTTTAACAATTGCAAGTGAAGAAATTAAGTATTCTAATTTTACTACTGTAAGTAAAATAATAATTATACTTACTAGATTTGTAATGAAATGCATTTGTAAACCTGTTTTCACAGAAACAGCCAACCAAAACAGAAGCTTGAGGATTTAAATTTTGCAAGAAATATTTCTTTTTCATTCACATTATTTTACAGTGTAGTTGTATTAAATGGTAATATATTACTGCCTTAGGTGTAATAATAATAATAATAATGAAGCTCTATGAGCTCTTAATTTTGCTCTTGAAGTGTGCCATTTATCCTTAAAAAAAGAACAACATTTATTTCCTATTGGGACCAATATTCACCTTACATATTCTAACAAAACAGTTTTATTTGTTATTTTCTTTTTTTTACAAACCTGTTTTTGATTTGAAAGTTGCAGTGGAGCGAAAGACTTTTAGCAAATAATGACAGAATATTTAGTTCTTGGTGAACTGTCCCTTTAAGAGTATAAAAGAAGTACTAAAAGGACAAACAGTCCAGCTGATGTCAAACATATGTTTCATGTTATTGGGGTGGTTGAGTTTGTTTGGATGGTGTTTGGAGGCTCTAGAGTTGAAGCGGGATTTATTTTCCTATAGAGTCAATGCAGTGCTGAAATTGTGTCCTGCACAGCAGAAAGCAACAGACTGAACATGCTGATACACACACACACACACACACACACACACACACACACACACACATCCAACCCAACATGTATCCAATCTTAATTTTTGTATAGCAGGACTGCAGTGATTTTGGACAGAGAGAGAGCTAAAGAGACAGAGCTAAATTTTACCTTCTGCAGGGGTACAGGTTGTCATGTTCACAAACAACACATAGACAACATGACACAATGATGAGAAAATAGAAACAGAATTAACAAATGCAGAAATTACAGATACATCAGACAGATGTATATAATGTACTAGCTGAACAGCAAAGCAGCTCAGACACCAGCTCTAAAGCATATTGTTATGTCAGCTCCTATTTAATAAACTAGATTTAGCTTGTTTTCTAAATTCCTAACTGAGACTGAACTGTCTAAACAGAATTCCTCTTCGGCTATGTCCACATTAATCCAATTCTGTTCAAAAATGGCATATTCCATTTCAAACCGCTCACAAAACGTCATAACCACTCACTGAGATGATACTGTCAAAACAAACATAATAAAGTTCTCACACTATTCTTCTTGTATGACCAGTTTATTAGTGAAATATCCCACCACTCAAAATCAAGATTCCATGTATTTTCTAAAACACAACTGTCATCCTCTTTTGCAGCAAGTCAGCAATTGCGATTAAATATTCCATCATCTTTGCAGTAAAGTAATATGAAGATTGTACAAAGTAACATTTATCTTAAGCAACAATATTAAAGAGGTATGATGCTACTTGCACAAAGAGATACTACATACTAAAATAAAAGGAAAACATTAAAAAGCATTGCATGGCCTTTTTAAACTGAATAGCAGGCACAACAATGCACTAGTTATATTGTATATACTCATCATTTTCAAACATGTTTTGAAACATATACACTTGGGAAAGCACCTAAAAAAAAGTTTTTGCTGAACAAAATTTTTTGCATGTCAGCATGGGCAAAAGGACAAAAACGAGATGCATTTTCAAATCTATCTGCATTAATGTGGACAAAGCCTTAGAGTGAAGCTTGAAAAGTTGATAAAGGCCAAATAAATGACGAAGAAACATTGAAAAGCTTCTGAATTTTGAAAAAAAAGGATTTTTAGCTGGTGCCTGGCTTTATTTCTAATTCCTATGAAGATATAAATGGGTACATGATAGATGTTAAGCAAATACACACATGATGATATGAACAGACGTAATGATCAATGATATGAATGTAAATCAAAATGAATATGGTAAAACCAGCTGACCTGTGGAACAAGTGAAGTGAAGGATTTGGATTAATCACTAACAGACTGATCTCGATAAGCACCAGAGAGCCGAGCCTATTACTAATATGAATTGTTAATAACTTTTTAAATAATAGTTGACTTGACTCAGTTTGAGGCATTATTATTATTATTCCCAGGCAGTTTGGATTAGTACAGCATGAGTTTGCTCTTACCACACACATTTACTGCCTCACGCTGGGGAGACATAGCATTAGAGAGCATTCAGAAACCCCCAAATACAGAAGAAAATTATTTTACAAGAACCAAAATGCACTTAAAGTCCACTCACATTTTCTGAATCATTTGAGTGAATATAAGTATTGGATTCTGATCATTTTAGTTAATTAATTTCCATGTCTGTGTGTTTGTTTATGAGCTATTTTTATTTTATTTTAAAGCCATTTTTCAGAGATTTCATTTTTAAATATATCTGAGTTGAGCATAACTTGAAAAAAAAGTAAAAAAACCATAGCACAATGGTATTCTTGGATATACCTTGGAAGGCCTGTCGTTATTTTTTATTTGTGCTTTGTTCTTATTTTATTACTGACTGGTTACTTGTCATTTTTTATTCAATTCAAAGTTTGAAATCAAGCTATCTCGTGCTATTGCACCAAAATTACCCCACTGTAAAATAAACAAACACTGAGTGAGCAAAAATATGTGAGATAGTTATAATGGTAATTAAATAATGTTTACATATGTATAAAAGCCTACATTAAAATCTGTCATATAAATTGGTCTCTTCATTAGAAATTAGCCTACTGATTCCCACCATTGATGGACAATTTTTTTTAATAATATTAAAAATATCTGTATGACATTATATTCTGCAGTTCTTCCCTGTTGTACCGAATATCTATACTTTTCAAATTATCATATCGAAGTTAGAAATTCAAATATTGTGACAAAATTAATTTTGTAGGGTGCCACAAGTTTGTTAACATTTCCAAAGGGTGCCGCAACTAAAAAAAGGTTGGGAAACACTGCCTTGGAGTACCAAGAAAATACCATGGCAAATAAATACTGAAATCATTTAATGCCATGATTTATATCAAAATGCTATGATATTACAATTCGATATCTTCAGTGCAACACATTATGTGGCCATAAGTTGTGAAAGGTTGAGAAACTTTGATCTATGGAGGCTTTCATTCAGCATACCTTTGGCTGCCTTGCCTGTGTCTCAATTATGAAATATGTTTGAATACCTTCCTGAAAAATCCACAAAACACACCCCTGACCCTGAAGGCACAGCTGATGGCATGATGATTGATTTCATAACAGGTAGGGTATGCAGTGGCGTTCTGTCTGAACCTGCCTCATTAACACAGAGCACAGAGCTAGCTGAGTCATGCTAATGCTCTGTGCTAGAGCTTAAAACAGCTCTGATCTATAGATACTGTGACTTAAGATTGCAGTGAACTAAGACAGGACAAGGATATGTAAGAATCCAAACAACTAGAAATATGAACATATGCTCCCATGAGTTTTGCACATATCATGTTGGAACTGTGGCAATGGACCACACCAATGCTCCTTGACCAGCAGATGGCATCCTTCCATTGACCTTCTCAGACTTTAAGCCTCATTTAAGGTCAAAAATCTTGGATGAAAATACCCTTGCTACAGCTAACACTGAAGGTTGGTCATGTTTTGTGCCAGTTTAGCCTGACTTATTAAAGGTGTTAAGGGCATTATCTTTCTGTGAAAACTGACCGATGGCGACATCAGACTGACAGATATTCACTCACCTTACTGGCCTTCAGAACATGTATCTGCTCCTCATTCACTGTGTCTTTATTCTTCTCCAGAAAACCATCACACTGATACTCCACCTGACAGACACAGACAGACATGTGAGGTTATCCTATAAGAAAGAAAATCCATGAACGAGGATCTGAATAGATATAAACTCAGAACATATCAGTCGCTTTCCCCCCTCAGAATTGGAATTTATAACTTGCAATCACAAGTTTATATCTCACAATTTTGAGAAAAAAAGTCAGAATTGTGAGATACGAACTCACATTTGTGAGAAAAAAAGTCAGAATAACGAGTTTTCATCTTGCAATTTTTACTTTATTTCTCGCAATTGCAAGTTTACATCCCACTATTCTGATAACTCGCAATTTCGAGTTTAAATCTCACAATTCGGAGAAAAAAGTGAGAATTGTGAGTTTGTATTACGCAATTCTTTAAAAAAGTCAGAATTGTGAGATTAAAAAGTCGCAACTACCTTTTTAATTTATTTTTTATTCAATGGCAAAAATGGCCTTCCATAGCAATTACATGGAAAGCAAACAATAATAAAAAAAATAAATACTACTCCATTCTTCTTAAATTTTGGTCAAGTCTTTATATTGTCAAATTTGAGAAAAACTTTACAATAAGGTTTCATACATACTGTTATTTTAGTATTGTTGAGGTACGATTTAGTTAGTTCACACAATAGCTGACATGAAATAAAAATTAACAATAATGCAGTTTACACCATTTGTTAACCTAGGTTAATGTTATGGTAAGCATATGGTAAACAATTTTACATTACAAGTATAGGCATGAATAAAACATTAACATTGTTAAATCACCAATACGTTCTTATTTTTATGGAATGTTGTAGTGTTTTTATAAATGATTAATTTGTGCAAATCATTATATATATTTTAAACATATGCAATAATATGGTAAAAAGATTATCGCAACTTAAATTTTATGCCAACTTAAATGCTGTAAAAAATCTAAATCATGATATTGTACCTGATTAACCAACTTTAATCAATTGAATTTTACTGTTAAGTGTTGCCAAGATTTATTTATACTTTTGTAACCCGTTTTATTTCAGAACAAACATCTGAGATCAATTAGTCATTGTACTTAAATAAATTATAGCTAAGAGCTCCATTAACCTCCCTGTTTTCCACTGGGCATAAATTACGTTATATTATGTATTCTATTAAATTTATATGATTTAGACTTTCATTTATATTAGTAATGCTGATTAGAGACTGAAGTGATTTAACCCTGAGGATGTTTGAGAAAGCACCTACTAATGCTCAAACCCTGATTCGACAATGTGTGTTTACTGAATGTCTATCACACACTCTAAATGTGTCTCATTACCCACACCCCCTTCTCCATCAGTGCTTCCTCACAGATATTGAACACGGTTTCTAAAAACAGAACTGTAGCCATCATGAGCTCATGTGAGGATGTATGCAGCAGTTGCTGTGTCATACAAATAGTGCACACAGGCGACTCGACTTCTGGTGTTAGCATGTTGCTAAGCTAACAAACTTATACTCTAACGCATTTTTTAGAACTATTTTATATATATTAGTATTTATTGTCTTTAAATGGTAGGCCTGTTTCACATATAATACATCAGTGGCCCATCTGACAAGAGCTTATGCAGAGTTAAAAGTACAAACTTAAATATTGTGATCTATTTTATATGAGGTGGATAACATGTATATTCAAATGGTAATCATTCTCCAGATGAACTGCATAACTCACCTGGATTCAGTCAGATTTACTGAACAGGAAGCATTTGTCTACCTGTTATTGTGCATGAATTTTGACAATGCATGAGTAAACTGCTCCACGATCGTATATTGCTTTATATTACTAAAAAGATTGTTTTGCTAAATAGTTTTAAAGTGGAGTGTCAGTATTTCCTGCCGAGTTCAGCTTGTGTCACACAGCAAAAATAAGCTCAACACCAAAACATAACTCTCAGTGTCACGTCTAGGACACTTCTGGGACACTTATGCAAGCAGTGAATGCTGTTAATCTGCTAATATGTTGAAATGATTATGCACTGTTTAAATGCAGTAAGTGTGAGGCAGCTCATTTGTCTTTGTTTAGACATTGATATATGAAATGACACACACTGTGTATATCACAGTTGATCAGAAATGCTGAACCAGCCCGAGTGTGAGGTGTGTGAGGTGTGTGTGTGTGTGTGTGTGTGAGAGAGAGTGTGTGTGTGTGTGTCCTCACACAGTTTTCCCATCAGCCTTTGCCAGTGCAGGCCTGGGACTTTACAGCAATCGCTGTGAGCTTCAGGCATGTCCTCTGTCATGAGTTTAAAAATATGCAGATTTTGTTGGATTTAGTTAATCATATTGTTTACATATTGTTTATGTTTCATTTCGAGTTTGATTAATTTGATTAGACTGGCTGAATTAATGAAAGTGTTTTTAATTGATCCTTACTAAGAGCAGCCAGAATGAAACATGATATAATCACATTTTCAGTGAAATCTTGCAAAAATCCACTCCTTTGGACTGTATTTCCACGCTGAACAACACAAAGCATTTACACCTGTGAAATGTCGCCTAAATTTCATTAAACAGTGGATTTTATCAATGAAACTTGTGCTGATTAGCTTTCGACCTTCATGCATCAGTAAATGAAGCAAAGCTGGAGAGATTGAGGATGGATTTATCGCGCAGATCTTGCTCTGTCTCCATCAAGTTCTGCCGTTTCTATTTCACTTTCAGGGGAACTCAAAGCCTTCAGAGACCTCGGGATGCTTCTTATCCTCTTTTCTGTTGTGTTCGGTTTTGGCTGTCGTTGTATATTTGAGAATATGGTCATTCAGAAATACTGCATGTGTCCTGGATTGTCATGATGACAAGAATTGGTGTTTCGCCCCGTGATAGCACTATTGTGTACTGCACTGGTTAGTTGTGTGGTGTCTGACAGACGGACTCAGTGTGTCCTCGTCAGCCCGGGAACAACACTTTCAGTCGCTGGTTGGGTTCAGTCACGGAACTCATGTCATAGTCATATTTCTGGACTAATGTTCCTGAAAGAAGTCGCTTCTGCTCACCAAGACTGTGTTTATTTGATCAGAAATACAGTACAAACAGTGAAATATTATTAGAATGTAAAACAGCTGTGTTCTATGTGAATCTCTGTTAAACTGTAATGTATTTCTGTGATGCGCAGCTGTATTTTCAGCATCATTACTCCAGTCTTCAGTGTCACATTATCTTCAGAAATCATTCTAATCGTTATATCTCACAGTGTGACTATATGTATCTTGCAAAACTTCATGAATCATATTTGCTTGGAAAAACACAATAATTACTGACTCTTTGAAGACGAGTAGTTGTTGTAAATTCATCTTTTGCTGCTTCACTTGTTGCCATCCAGTATGCAGAGCACATGTGAGGATTTCTCCTGACCTTTGACCCGGTGATATCGAAACGAGCTTCAGGAGCCGTCTTGATTTAATACCAGTTGTGCATGAAAGACACACACGAGATAAATATTGCCATTGCTCTCAGCAGCGCAGTGTTTTTACAGCAGTCAGTCTGAATCTTTGTCATTAACTCATTAGGCGTCGTCCTGAGCTGAAGATCTCGAGGGACGACTCCAGTCCTGCAGGCTTCTGATGCACACTCACAGCTCAGCTGGCATCAGGAGGAAGGCGTGAGTGTGTCTGAGGAACAAGAGAAACTAGCGTGTGATGAATCCCCAGAGAGCCACTGACCGTGTGTCAGCACCCTGCTGCAGGACACTAGAGGAGTCTGGGAGTGTCCGGCCGCAGCGTGACTGTTTAACATCTGTCCTACTGAAGAACAGAACATACGTGGACTAGGTCTTATTTAGTCCAAGAGTAAGTGTTCATTTTTAAGACATACTGGGTAAAGTCTTTCGGAATTCAGAGTAAGACTGATCAACACTACACTACAGTCGTTTACCTGTTTTCCAGTGCAGGAAATATATAAAGAACATATAGAAATCAAAATACTTCTTTACAGAATATACCTTGAATTAAGTTGGTATTGGTATATATATATATTTAATGCTTTAATCATTAATCTATAATATATAGTTTTATAAATTGTATTAATTATTGATTTATTTACATTTTTATAATTAATATATATATATAATGAATAAGAAAGTAGTATTGAAGTTTGAGCTCTGAGTTTTGAGCGTGTGTCTGTCAGGACTGATCAGAGAAGTGCGCACCTGTTCATGTTTTCTGTCATCATCATGTGTCTGTACACCTGGCTTTGACCTCTGACCTTTGAGAGGCTCGTGTTTCTGTCTAGAGAGAGGCTGCTGAAGGGAGCTCTTTATGCTCAGAAATCTGCATCCGTCGTTGAAATGGATGTACTTTCATTTTGTAACTCGGCTGCAGGACACACATTTCAGGGTTTGCCGCTGGACTGTGAGCTTTACTCTGGAAAACAGAGAACATCGCAGCGTTAAACTGCTGTTTACAGTCACATGTGAGAGTTGTAGGGGTCACGCTCACTTAACCCTTTGGGTTCTTTTGCCAAATAAGTTTGTAATTGCTGCTATGGTTTGCACATATTTGTTGTTGAAGTGTTTCTAATGCCCTGAAGCCTTTGCCGCACATGAAGGTGTGTTCTGTAGTCCAGATCGGTCAGACGTCCCAGCGTTCGCTGGAGTCTTATATCATTACAAGCATCTCAGCAGATCCTCAGACTCTTTCATCTTAATGACCTCTATCTTCTAACGCAACAGAACTAACAGGAACAAACAACTCGCTTTCATTTCCTCCGCGCCGAATCGCTCAAAGTGATTTGTGAGTTTGTACTCCCAGTTGTGACTTGTTACCGTTAAATTACACAAACCATTTTCTCATCTGGCCAACACGGTTTGAGAAGTGTAGGTCTTCCTCAAAGGACAAAGAACAGAAGACTTTCATCCGGTTCACTGATTCAGAACATGAGTGCAGAGGAGGTTCGTTCTGATTCAGCTGGAGCCGATCGCTGAGTGAAGGAGCTATGAGTGTTAATACAGCGCTGAAGCTATGAAGCCTGCCTGGTTCGTGTGAGATCAAGTTAAAATAAGAAGTAACATTATGAGATCACTTGGTAAAGTTACAGTTGCAAGACCTAAATTCACATTGTGAGATATAAAGTAGCAATTATGAGAAAAAATTGCAATTGCAAAATATATACTCACACTCCTACATACATATAGTCACGATTACGAGAAAAGCTGCAGTTGTGAAATACATAGTCCCCTAATGAGATATAAAGCTGCAGTTATGAAAAAAAATCCACCTCTTTCTAGCCCATTTTTTTTTTTTTCTGAGTTTACAATTTGCTGTCCATTATTATTAAAGAAGACGGAGTTTTCCCAACACTTCCGGTGTCAACATGTCCAGTGATCCCAGACGCTCCAGGCTAAATCCTTCATCACAGAAGCCTAAATCTGGACTACTGTAAATGAATCCGGTTATTCTGGATATCAGATGACCTGCAGTGAAGTAAACCTGAAGTAACCCTCCTGTCAGCCTCTACAGACCAGTGCTGTTTAAATCGAGCCCAGATGAGAAGCTTTTATTTACCCACGAGGCCTTTCAGCAGACTTTGAAAGATGTATGGTGTTTACATGGCACACGCGGCCTCAGAATACAAGACAGATTCATTTCATTGAAGAATATTGATGCGAGTGAATTCCGCTATTTGATGCTCTAGACATTTTCCAGTCGTTCCATCTGAGAGTGTTTAAGCCCTTAATATTTTCTATTGCAACTGTTCTTAATTCTGCAATTGTGGTCCGATTGAACGGCTCTGCCAGTCTGGATCTACAGCACAGTGACGGGACGTGTGGCGTCCCATAGTCGGAATTTGTGCTCTGCCTTTAATCCATCCAAGTGCACACACACACACACACACACACACACACCCGGAGCAGTGGGCAGCAGTTGGGGGTTCGGTTCTTGCTCAAGGGTCTCTCCTCAGTCGTGGTATTGAAGGTGGAAGAGAGCGCTGGTCATTCACTCCCCCTACCAACAATTCC